AGCGAGCCCGAGAGCAGCAGACTTGCCCCTGCCTCTGCCTGCAGTGAGGGCCACGGTCTGGTACCCTTCGCCCCCTTGGGTCCCCCCGTGGGGCCCCCCCTGGGGGCCCTCCTGGGGGCCCCCTTGGGGACCCTGCTGGGGGCCCCCCGAGGTGTGGCTCCTGCCGCGGAAGCTCTTGCAGCTGCAGAGGCAGTCGAGGAAGGCGAGGACTGCGTTGGCTTGGTCCTTGGTTGCGCAGAGTTTGACGAGGGCGTCGAGGGGGGGGGCGTGTTGGACTTTGTCTTTGATGAGCTGGAGCTGCTGCTGCTGCTGCTGCTGCTGCTGCAGCAGCAGGGGGTCCGGGGCCCCCACGCCGGGGGCCCCATTGATGGGGAGCACGTTGAGCTCGTCGTCGAGAATGAGGCAGCGGCGGCAGTCCACGAGAGACAAGAGGAAGCGCTGAGAGAACCTGGGGTTGAGTTGGGAGAGGTTGTGGGCCTTGTACCTGGCTTGGAAGTCGAAGGCGAGTCGGTAGAGCTGCTGCAGCTGCTGCAGCTGCTGCAACAGCAGCAGCACGAGCCCGCCCCCAGCCACCGTCTCCACCGCGCGGCACAGCAAGTTCGCAGAAAGACCCTCGAAGTCCTGCAACACGCACAGCCCAAACGTGCAGCCCAGCACTTGCTGCGAGTCCGCGTAGTGCACGTAGCGAATTTGCGCAGAAGACACGAAGAGCTCGAAGGGGTCTTCGACGTTGGGGTCGTAGAGCCCGCGGCTGATCTTCTTGCGCAGCAGCCGCTGCCGCTTCCGCCGGTGCGAGCTGAAGCCAAGTTCTTTCTTGTAGCACCACAGCACTGCGGGTCTGTGGGGCCCCACACTGCTTAACAAGTAGTACAGGTTCACCACTTGTTCCCTGCCGCGGTCCCCCACCAGCACAAACAGCCCGCGCTCTCTGCTCGCCACGCAGCTCTCCACCAGCCCCCGCACCACGCGGTCCACCTTCTTCCGCATCTCCGCGATCCGCAAACCCTAAGCCCTAAACCCGAAACCCTAGGCCCGCCCCCGCCAACGGACGCCAACGCGCACGCCCACAACGCGCGGATACTGCCGGAGCCGAGGATGGGGAACGCAAGCCAGCAACAATTCGGGCGGGGGGCTCAGCGATTCGAACTAGGGTTTAGGGTTTAGGGTTTGCGGCTGCGGACTGCACGCCTCCGGGCTGCAGCTGGCCTTTAAATTTGATTAATTTCGCTTTTTCTTTGGGCCGATGGCCGCTGAATGGTGAAGAAAACAGATCGCTGCCAGCAAGGCCCGAGGCCTTCCAGCCACAAACCCTAAACCCTAAACACCAAACCCTAAACCCTAGCCTTCTTATCCCAGCCAGACGGCATGCACGGATCAAATGTCCACAAAAATTTTAAATTGATCCGCGAAAATAAAGAAATATCCAGAAGACCCACACGGCCACTGCTGTGGGGCAAGGGCCCCCACGCTCACTGAGGGGCCCCTAGGTTGCAGGGGCCCCAAGGGTACAGTCCATAGTCCTTCAATCTCTGTCTCTGGGATAAAGAAGGAAAATAAAATGCTCTGAGCCCACATACCAGCTTTCGCAGTGCATGCGCTTCAAGTGGATACACTTTTCTCCAGAAACCCTCGGGACCCTGAACCCCAAGGGGCCCCTTTGGGGGCCCTCAGGGGGCCCCCTGGGGGCCCCTCAGGGGGGCCCCGGGGTTCTCTGTGGGGCGAGAGCACTTGAAGTTCATTCTGTGCAGAGGCTGCTTGCTGCAGCAAGCTACATGTTGCTGCTGCTCGTCGTGCTAGCTGCAGCTAGCTAGGGGTCGCTGGAAAGGGCACGCCACAGATAGCTACAGCTAGCTACGGTTAGTGCTGAACGTAGCATCTCATCCTTGCATGCGCAGCAGGACTGGCACAGGTCACAGCTAGCTGCAACAAGCCTTAGCTAGCTACAGCTAGCCCGAGCTCCCGCCGCAGCTAGCACAAATGCTGCTGCACACAAGCAACTGGCCTTCTCTGACTTCTCCTCCGGGGCCCAAGAGGCCAACGGTTTGCTGCTAGCAGCTTCTTTGTGCATTCCTTACTGGCTGCTTGCTGCCCTTTGGCTGCAAAGAGTTGGGTTTGGCTAGCTACATAGGCAGCTAGCTGGCTAGCTACGTAGCTAGCTGCAAGGCAAGTACCTTATGCAGGCGCTGCATTTTCCCTCAGAGCCACTCAGCCCCTGCTTTGCAACCAGCTAGCCAGCCAGCTCCTCAGCTTTCCAGCCCCGTCCCCAGCCACTGGGCTAGCTAGCTGGCTAGCTAGCCAGCCCGTCCAGCCATGTAGCTAGCTCACAGCTTCAAGGCTGCGAGATAGCTGTGAGATAGCTGCGCGCTAGCTGCGAGCTAGCTGTGAGCTAGCTGTGAGCTAGTTGTGAGCTAGCTGTGAGCTAGCTCCGAGCTAGCTGTGAGCTAGCTGTCAGCTAGCTGCGAGCTAGCTGAGAGCTAGCTGTTAGCTAGCTGTGAGCTCAAGGATCTACACTTGTAAAGAACATGAGAAAACGTACGGAGATAAAAATCGGGGGGCCCCACAGGGGGCCCCCCGAAGGCTCCCCTGGGGCCCCTGGCCCGAATTTGAAGTGTCTCCCTGTGGGGCCCCGCAGCCTCTTGGGGGCCCCTGCAGCCCCTGCTTTTTGCTCCTGTTCTTATGAAGACCATAAAGATTAAAACTGCATTGCTGCTGCTGCTCCTGCTGCGGTGTACAGACAGCTGAAACGCTGGCTTGAGATGTCACTGCAGCTACACGACGGCCCATTAATTAAAAACAAGATGGGCCCCTGCATGCGCCGCTAGTGTACAGACACTGTCTCCAAGCTATTACTGCTGCTCCTGCTGTCGCTTTCGCTGCCGCTCCTCCTGCTACTGCCGCTACTGCTGCTGATGTTGCCGCTGCTGCTGCTGCTGCTGCTTCTGTTGTCGCTGCTGTTGCTGCGGCCGCTGCTGCTTCTGTTGTCACTGCTGCTGCTGCCGCCGCTGCTGCTTTTGCCGCTGCTGCTGCTGCTGCTGCCGTTGCTTCTGCTGCTGCTTCCGCTGCTGCTTCTGCTTCTGCTGCTGCTGCTGCTGCTGCTGCGGCTGGCGGCGGCTAGTGGGAGCTGGTGCGGACGAGGGGCACGTAGATGACGCTGGTGATGTATTTGACAGAAATTTCTCCTCCAGAGCTTTTCGAAATAACAACAAGAGCCTGGCCTCCTCCTAAATCTGCATTAATTCCCAAGTCCCTTTCGCCCAAACCCTCGAGGGTTATGCGGCCCCTGCTGCACTGCACGGGGATTACCATTTTGCCCCCAGCAGCAAGCTGCTGCAGCAGCGCAGCAGGAACTGCTGCAGCAGCAGCTCCCACGTGAATCGCATGGTAGGGGGCCCCCCAAGAGGGGCCCCCCGCCCAGCCGTCTCCTTTGATTAGCTCGAAGTTGGGGCTCGACAGCAGCGACGGGAAGGCAGCAGCCACGTTCCTGCGACACCCAAACCCTAAACCCTAGGCCGCAAACCCTAAACCCTAAACCCTAAACCCTGAAGCCAGCAGCTCAACACGCAGAGGGCCCCAACTGTGCGCTAATGTTAAAACCGTTTTAACAAGAGCGCCTAATCCCCAAACCCTCGCCCATTGCGTCTGCACCCATTATTTGGCCTCAACCCTAAATCCTAAACTCTAAACCTAATCCCTCAGCAACTAAAACCTAGCGCCTAAGACCCAACTAAGCGCCCTCGACAACTGGATCGGAGACGGAAACCCTAAACAATAGTTCCAGGCTTCGACCCCAGATCTTGGCGCCGGCGAGCCTAAGACCCTAAACTCTAAACCCTAAACCCTAAACCCTAATCCCAAACCCTCGCGACTTGCTTGCGCGACAAGTCCACCAAACCCTGCACGTAGTCAATCCCCACGGCCACGCCCCCGCCCTCTTGCCCAGCGCCCACCATCAAGGCCATGCAAACTGTCAAATAGCCTGTCCCCGATCCTGCAGCAAACCAGCAAACCCTCAGTTGCATTTCTTTTCCAAAT